TTTATCATATCCACCCAGACAGGCTAAATGTCAGCAACCATGAAATTGTATTTTCCAAAACGTAAAAAATAACGTTTTTTTCTTGAAAATCCCCACTTGTTTGTGAGCTTCTGGTCTGTACATACCTTGGACATGTTTTGTTATTGAGTTTTCTGAGGAAAGGGCACACAAAACGAGGCTGGAGATCTATTGTTGGGGAAATGCCTCAATGAGAGAGAGGGAAAGGGGGAGGTTGTATTTGTGACAACGTGGTGGACTCAAAAAGGATTAGTCCAAGTTCTTAATGTGTGAGATGAATGCATATATTATATAATAAAAAATATATAAAATGTATAATATCTACGGTGTGATTCGCATGACAATTAATCCATATGTTTTCCATATATCATTATGTGCTCATGAAAACAAATATTTAAATGAGAATACGTGCTGTAGCCGTGCAGCTAATGGTACAGTCCAACACCAGTTCTCCCCCAAATTGCGGCACCAGCCTATAAAAAGTAGCGAGCGCACAAAGTTGGTACGGCAGACTTGTTTTGACTGAAGTGAAATATCTCAAATATAACTTCCTGCAAAGAGATGGAGCGCACAGAGGTGGGGAAGCCAGAATCGTTGGAGGATCTGATAAAAATCCTGCATCAGATTTTCGAGAGTGACAACATCAATGTTGAGGAGGTCCAAAATATAATGGAGGCATATAAGAGCAACCCCCAGGACTGGATGAAGCATGCAAAGTTCGACCAGTACAGGTAAAAATGTGATTGTTTATTAACGCTCATGATATTTGACTGCCATTAACTAATCAGATATAACACGTTTATTATGCTGATGCACTTTGCACTGTGGATTCTTAGCCTTGTCTGTCGCCTTGGCCTAGTGTCTTCATGCTTTTACTCCAGTCCAAATGTTGTTTTCACTATCATATTTTAACTTTTATTAATATTGTGTGTCTGTATTTGTCCGCTGATCTTGATTTTGTTGCAAATCAACGATGGCTGTTCTCTACAAACATGAGATGCCCTTGACATGACGAATATAGTGAAGTTACAAGGTTATTCATAACGTTTGCAAATAATTGAACACATTAATTAAATACTTCAATATTTAAAAAATAATCGTTCTCACGTTTGAACAAAAACCTGTTCTTGTTTCCATGCAGAATGCAGATTTCGTCACATCGTATTTGAATAAAAGATTGGAAAAACCCGACTTCTACCAAATTCATATTAATGCAGTCTATTTAGGAACACTACTCCTACATTAGGCTGACAACCTTATACAAAACAGTTGATTTTAAATTATAAATGTTTAAATCTGCAATGGAGAAAAAATAGGGAGCTCAAACGCTTTGAATAGCTTCAGTGTTGTGATCAGTGAGGGGTCAATGGAGGGAGGGTGAGGGTGCCATCCAATCAACACTGAGAACACACACACACCCGAATGACTGTCTGTTGTCCGCGAGGGAGCTGCAGCTGCCTCAAAAACATTTAGAGACTGCCGGAATGACACAGCGCACAACAACGTGCAGAGTAATGTTTACAGAACAAGCATGGACGCAAAATGGCCTATATTACATCATTGGGGTATCTGTATGGAAATAAAATAAAGAAAAAACATTAAGTATCACCTTGTTGTCGGTTAGCGTGGGGTCCAGCAGGAATTTTGTGCGGGTGACATTAAACAGTTGTCCATTATAAGTAATCCTACAACAGGTTAACTGTATGGAAACTGCAATAAATTGGACATTTAAATCAAATAAAGATCATAGTGTTTAAATCTTCGTCACATTGAGATTTAGCTTTGTCCTAAAAATGATTTTTAAAAATATATATATATTGAGAATTAGCATTCAATGTAAAACGTGTGACAACGCCTCTTCTCTGGACTCCTTTGGGACATTTTCTATATGCACTTTATATCTCCCTGTTTGTTTAACACATTGTCCTCTTCTTCAGGTACACAAGAAACTTGGTTGACGAGGGTAACGGGAAATTCAACCTCATGATTCTGTGCTGGGGAGAAGGCCATGGCAGGTGAGATGCTCCCGCCTGCAAATTAAGGGTTGACATCACAAACACAATCTTATTTTATTGCATCATACAATAACATCCAAATTGTGTTTAGCTATTTAGCAAGATCTCAGCGATAACTGCAAATGAAAAGCTATGATACATGTTGCATAAAGCTATACAATCTATTGTGTATTCAAGTGATTTTCTGTGGAAATTATTGTCTCACAGTAATAGAGATAAAGAGAGTCCAATGTTCTAAACACGGAAAGGCTGTCTAAACAGATGTTATTTAGTTATATCTATTGCATGTTGCTCCTTTTGAGCCTATATCACCTGAGCACCTAACACATAAGGGTATAGACATTGACATATTCACTTGAGTTTGTTTTGGGTTGATAATATAAATGTTATATTTTTATGAAAATATAACGGAACATTTCTTTCACCTACTGAAGAAAGGCCATGAAAACGGGCATTACATGATATTATGTATAAAATGTATGTGTCAGTCTGGAGGAAGAGTTTGAATTTCATATCTCAAGAAGAAGAGTTTCTGAGAACTGGCCCTGACCCTGCTAATGAATCTGAGAAGTTCCTTAAAGGGCAGATTTAAAATGGTGCTTTTAGTCCAAAGGTTATGACAAGGATCTCACACTGTATGCTTGTTTTTATCTTTTCCATTTGCAGTAGCATCCATGATCACTCGGACTCGCATTGTTTTATGAAGCTGCTGCAGGGTCAGCTGAAGGAGACCCTGTTTGACTGGCCCGAGAGTAAATCCAAAGGAGAAATGGTCCAGAAGTCACAGAGAATCCTCCAGGAAAACACGGTTGCTTACATAAATGGTGAGAAACCAGACAGTGTGCTTAGTGTTTCTATCCTTTTAACTAGGCTTGATTGTTAATCAGGGTATATGCAGGAATCCTGAAGTCAAGTTTAATACCTTTTATGACCTTTTTTAAGACCCTTTCCATACATTTTAAGACCTCATCGCCACTTGGAGTTTTAACCGGTTACATTGGCGCAACAGTTACTATATACAGTATTGATTGTCCTTCCTCCTTATCTTCCAACCATTTGGACGCAGACTTGCATTCCCCCATAACGATGTTTAACAACCGGCGTAAACTCACTGTGAATCACACTACACACCTATGCAATGATTACATTCAGGCACACTGTAGAATACAACCTCTTTGGACAATTTATATACTTATTGGAAACAAGCTACAACATGTAATACCTTGGAAAATGCCGCTTAGTACTTTTTAATGGCTTTAATTTTTGCTAAATTGATTTATCAATTTTTTATATTTTTTAAGACCCCGCGGACACCGTGAGTATTCTCCAGACATATTAAAAAAACATTGTTTGGTGCAGATCCTCTTACCAATAAAGTAACTGCACCATTTCCATGGCTTTCACTGTTATTCCTTTTCAACTAAATGGATCTCACAACACTCACACTGACAGCAGCGGAGGCTTCACTTTGAGTAGCAGCTAATGGAGCCAGATATCTTCTAAGTTATTAGATTGAAAAGGTCCTTTTGGTGCACGTTATGAATCACAACATAGACCTCTTACCGGATGTTAAAGGAAAAAAACTCAGGCCGTATTTCAGCCCTAAGCGAAATTGAAATATATAAAGTGTTTATACTTACAAAGAATATTTCAGAGTGTCGTCCAGTTCCATGATGGCTGCCTGGTTTCCGCAGCGGTAGCAGTAGTTTGGAGCACTAAAGATGGTCACCACATTCTTATCGTGACCCCAGTTGTAGCCCTGAAAGTGCAAAAGCATGTTCATTGTTAAATGTTTTCATGATGCTACTGCATTCATCCGTAAAGGGACAATAGGTAAGTACTCTTCCATTAGTGTTCTTCACATTAATAACTAGGGATGGGTACCGAGAACCGGTACTAAGTCAATACCGGTACCTGATTGGACGGTATCGGTATACCGTTAAGCCGCTGGACAAACGGTGCTGCTATCGGTATATGTGTTACGTCTACTTCCTTAGTTTAACTTTAAACCATTCTGGTTGGTTGGGAACCCTCATCCCGTGTGATGTATCCGGTTTGAGACCCCTCTGATTGGCCACTGTAAATGCCACTCGTCATCTCTCTCAACAGCGCTCTTATTATTGTTGTGAGACTCCCGCAGGCATGGCAGACAGAGCGAAGCGATCGAAGGTCTGGGTGCACTTTAAAAATGTTTAGTGGCGATAGTGCAAGGTACAATCTATGTACTCAATTATTTGCTTGTAAAGGGGGTAACACAAGCAACTTAATGAAGCATTTGCAAACGAGACACTCATTGAATCTAAAACGGTGCTAGCTATACTGCTTGTGCTAATAGTGCTAGCGGGCTTCAGCCGCGCCGTGTGTAAAGGTGACCTGAGCGATGGCTCGCAGGCAAGTTAGCTGCTGCGCCATGCGCACGGGTAATATGTTTTGTTTACCTGAGTGCAGTCTTGTAGGCAGTGTATTAATGTGAGCTCCTACACCTATCATAATTTGGCCTTTCATTGAATGCTTTATAAACCAGTTAAACTTACAGATGTCATTGTGAATTGGAAAACTGCATTTAAATGTTGAACAACATTTAAATGCAGTTTTCCAATTCACAATGACATCTGTAAGTTTAACTGGTTTATAAAGCATTCAATGAAAGGCCAAATTATGATAGGTGTAGGAGCNGTATTGTCTGATGTATTGTCTGATGTATTTTCTGATGTATTGTCTGATGTATTTTCTGATGTATTTTCTGATGTATTGTCTGATGTATTGTCTGATGTATTTTCTGATGTATTTTCTGATGTATTGTCTGTATTTTCTGATTTCAATTATCTTAAGAAATCCTGAAAAAAAATATATATATTTGTGTCAAAAGGGATGTATCAACGTGTGAGCAAAGGTGTTCATAATAATTGGACATAAACTGTAAAAATCCAAAGAACAACATAACCATAAAATGTCAAAAAGAAGAACAAATGTTTAATTCTTTATTAATCCTATATACAGACATTTACAGCAATTTTTACTAAAATGATTAAAGATAGTTATGGTAACTTCCTGTTTTAAGGACAATGTAACAGAGATGACGTAAAGTATTAGATGACTCTGTCCAGTTGTAGTTTCCAGTAAATGATACACAGAAGATACATGTACTGTGAAAAAGAAGCAGAAGAAGAAGAAGCAGGGTCGTCAAAGTGAAACACAACAGTCATTTCTCCTGCATTTACTAAACACTATAACAAAATAACACATATTGCTTTTTCTTTATTTTACAGTGGTTTTTCCACATGAGATGATGCTGTATATTATTCACCCTGCAGATAAACACGAGGAGGAGATCTGAGGGTCGGCTTTTATTCATTGAGTGAGTAACCTCTCTTAAGCGCACTTAAACCCTTTTTGTTTTTTTAATACACAAACTCTACAGCTCTGTACAAACAAATCAGAAAATGCTGAAAACAATAATTGTATTTATCGTCTAATTAAACACATTTGTGGTTGAAAAGTTTTGTGCATCATCAGACCATCTGAGTGTGCAACAAAACAGTTCATTCTTAAGAACTTAATTTTTTCAGACCGTCGATTGAGGAGTACCAACTTGTTGTAAATCAGAAAATCTATTTGTGGTCACTGACCAAAGTAAGTTGAGGGATATGATTAGCCTAGCTTAGCATAAACACTGGAAACAGATAGCCTGTTTTTCAGGTTTTCATCAAGTCTAGTGTAGCTCCTGATGTACGATTATGGCCACATGTGAATCTTCTTGAGATCTGACCAAAAGTTCATTCTGTCTTTAATCTCAGAATCCTGACTTTTCTTTTAAAAAATATATTTTTTTCCTCCAAATTTAGAATCTTCTTCTTTAAGAATCTGACTTTTTTCAAATGTAATAATTTCATTCTAAAATATCTGACTTTTCTTTCCAAATTCTGACTTTTTTTTCAGAATCCGGACCAGCTGAATTCTGGCTTAAATCTTAGAACATTTTTTTATTTGGTCAGTATTTTTTATTTTGGATTTACAGGAAAAACTTTGATTTAGATTTTTTTTCTGACGTCTGAAAGTATATTTGTATTCTTGACTTTTTGTTAAAAATTCTGACTTTTTTCAGAAAATTCTGACTTCTTTTTCAAAATTCTAACTTTTTCTTTTCTGAATTCGGAACAACATTTTTGAATCACAGAATTCTGGCTTAAATCTCCGAACAAAAAAAAATTCTATTTGGTCAGTACTTTATTTTGGATTTTCAGGAAAAACGTTGATTTTCACTTTTTTTTTTTCTGACTTCTGAGTTTTCTCTTTGTATTCTTGAATCTTAGAATTCGAACCTAGATCTCAGATGATTTTTAACCTTAAATGTAGTACTGTAGTGTATATCATCCTAAAAATGAATTTAAACTGTGTCGGACGTTTATTTTTGAAAAATCATTATGCCTAAAATGAGTCTGACATACCGTCCAAAACTGACACTAGAGGGCCTCATACTGTGAAGAATAGACCCAAAACAAGTATTTCATGAGAAGGGAGTGAGAATAAATTGTAATAAACATTCATCACAAACATCATAAACCCCCATTTGTCTAAAAAAACCTCCAAACGAATGATATAAATCTGTTTCCTCTTAATGATCACACCATATTTAGTTATTTTCACTGACTTGTATTTACTTGCAGTCATATTTTGTGAGCAGGTTATGCTCTCATTCTTTGAGCCAGATCTCAGGCCAGACTACCTGCAGATGTTTTGGCAGCTGTTTCCTGAGAGTTATTTATTAATTAACTCATATTACTCTGCAGGAGGGAGGGGGGTGAAAGTGTTTGTTACCAGGGTGGGTTAACAAGGTAATGTGCAGTCAGTCAACACAGGCATGGTGAGGTGATGTCTCCTCTTCCTCCTCTTCCTCATCCTCCTCCTCCTCCTCCTCACAGCCTCAGAGTCAGGATCCCAATCAGAAATGCTAACAGGAGTGAAGGTGAGGACACTGGATCAGAACCAGAAATCATATCTCTCCTGTGTTTGTAATTATCTTGCGTTACGTCCCTCTCTGCCTTTTCCTCCCTTTGCTCCACCTCCTCTTCCTCCTCCTCATCCTCTTCCTCTTCCTCTGGTGTTGTTGAGGGGGTTCCTGGAGGAGGGGTAGTGCCTGGGGCGGGTGTTGGTTGGGCTTCCTCAGAGTCCCAATCAGAGGCAGTGGTAATACTGGGAGTACTGGTGGTGTCAGGCTGCTCATTGGGGGCAGATGTCACCGGAGAAGCAGCAGCCTCTTCCTCTTCCTCTTCCTCCTCCCCCTCCTCTTCCTCGTCTTCGTCGTCAGGTTGGTCGTAGGGGGCAGTTGTTGCTATGGAAGCAGCAGCAACGTCCAGCTCGTCTTCAGGCAGGAGGAAGGGTTCAGATGTAGCTTGGGGAGGAAAAACTGTCTCACCTTCTTCATCATCATCATCATCATCATCAACCCCATCCTCCTCGTCTTCCTCGTCTTCCTCCTCGTATTCCTCTGTGTCAGCAACTATAAAACAAACAACAGAAGAACATAATGTTTCATTCTCAAATCTTCTCCAAAGACTACACCTTTTTCAGTTACTCAAATACAAATGTTATATATATAAAAAGAGATTATGATAAATGGCTGTTTACAAGAAAAAGAAAATCTCTTATTTGACTTGAGTAAATGTTCTTTATTTTGTACTATTGATGTTTGAATTATTATGAATGCTGTCCACCATGGTACACATGCATTTAAATCTAGATTATTTTTGTACTTATATAAATAAATGTTGTCCTTCCGTAGCTCGAATGTGCGACAAAAAACCATGACATTTTCTTTTTTTATAAAAAGGAAATCAAACATTGAATCCTGAACGCTGTAGGCCAAGAAGCATGTGATGAAGGACCCACTACAGAGTTAAACTCATCTAATAAAGGACTAATATATGCCTAATAATGTACTAAATCCTGCTGCACTCATTAGGACAGAAGTGAACCTACATTTTAATAATTAGATTTTGCCCCACGGTCTGGGGGACACTGTGTGTGTTTGTGCTCCTGAGGCATCTCTTACCACAGAGGTTGTTTTCACATTTCTGGAGGTTTTCAGGACATCTGGAGCACCATTCACCCTCAACATACGGCCTCTCTTCCTCAAAGTTCCCTCTGAGGACACATTTAAATCACAACATCACACACAGACATTATGACTTTAAATACCTTATAAGAGAAAGCAACTGCGACTGATATAAAAAACATAAAATAATAATATATCATCTACGTTAAAGTACTCAAATAAATACTTTAAGGTTTATAGTATATTATTAATATAATAAGAATTGTTATCGGAGTGTCTATTTGCACTCGGGTAAAAGTCAATGTCAACATCATGAAAAGTAAAAATTAGTAAACTAAAATTGAAAATAAATATTAATATTAAATAACTTTGAATATAATTCTTAAATCAATTTGCTCACATTGACACCAACATTTTTACTCAACATATTCAACCTTAAATTAAATAGAAAATATCATAATTAAATATGTACACACAAACACTGTGAACAAAAACATGACTGTCCACAAGGGGGAGCTCTTGTTCCAATAAAACTAACACTTTGAGATCATGGTGCAGCAGTGTAGTATCAGTGACATGCTGTGTATACTAGAGTAGTAGTATCATAGTTGTTGTTGTTGATGTATGTAATATTAGTAGCAGTAGTAGTATTAGTAGTAGTAGGTAGTTGTAGAATAAGTAGTAGTAGTAGTAGTAGTAGCTACTGACGGTGGGTAGTAGTTGTTGTTGCAGTATTAAAAGCAGTACTAGTAGTTGTTTTAGTATGAGTAGTAGTAGTAGTAGGTAGTTGTAGTATGAGTAATATAAGTAGTAGTAGCTACTGACGGTGTGGGTAGTAGTTGTCGTTGCAGTATTATAAGTAGTAGAAGTAGTTGTTTTAGTAGTAGTAGTATTAAATCAGCATATACTTCTGCCAGGGGATGCCACCCCTCAAAATCTCCTGCCACCCTCTTGCCACCCCATGAATATTTTTCTAGATCCGCCCCTGAGTAGTAGTACTAGTAGTAGAAGTACTGACGGTGGGTGGTAGTTGTTGTTGCAGTATTATAAATAGTAGTAGTAGTTGTTTTAGTATGTGTAGTAGTAGTAGTAGTAGTTGTTGTAGGAGTAGTAGGTAGTTGTAGTATGAGTAGTGGAAGTAGTAGTAGTACTGACGGTGGGTAGTAGTTGCAGACGAGGTATGAGACTCTCTCCCAGTCCAGACCCTCCATGTTGTTACAGAAATGGAAAGCACAGCCGACCCTGTGTGTGTCTGCCCACACCATCTGTAACACACACACACACACACACGCACACGCACACACACACACACACACACACACACACACACACACACACANTCACACTACACACCTATGCAATGATTACATTCAGGCACACTGTAGAATACAACCTCTTTGGACAATTTATATACTTATTGAAAACAAGCTACAAAATGTAATACCTTGGAAAATGCCGTTTAATACTTTTTAATAGCCTTAATTTCCGCTAAATTGATTTATCAACTTTTAATACTTTTTAAGACCCCGCGGACACCCTGATATTTCATCATTTTTAAAATATCTTAATGTTAATTATACTTGTTTGTTTGTGTGAGGGCAAGGTGTGAAACTGGTGCTTAATATGAGGAAACCCTCTCATTATATGCCTTGTTCAGTAAAACACAACAAAAATCCCTACATTTTCTTTCCCAGATGAAATATATATTATCTCTGTCACAGTCCAAAGTCTGTGCAAATGAGTTATTTGTGTGGCACTTTTTACAGCAAAGTTTCCAACCTCTGCAGTTACATAATGTCAAACTGGTCTCAGAGGAGTTAGGAGCCGGTTCTTACTTTACAATGAATAGTATTCATGTCTCTCCCCACCTCTGCTGACGGAGTGCTTCCCTCAGCAGAGCCCTGGTGTGATGTTTGTTGGTTGCAGTACTCAGGAAGTGCCTCTGTGTGAGCCTCAATTCACAGCATTCCAGTGGTCTAAATGTATGTTTTTAAATCGTGTGTGTGTTTGTGCATATTTTAGACTCCATTGGCCTGCATCGTGTGGAAAATGGCAGCCACACAGAGTGCGCTGCCAGTTTGCACCTGTACTGTCCCCCGTTCCAGGCCTGCCAGACCTTCGACCAGCGGACGGGGCACACGAACATCGCCAAGATGACTTTCTGGAGCAAAAACGGGGAGAGAACTCCATTTGTAAGCAACTTTTTATCACTATTTACATTTAAAGTAACTAAAAAGTTGTGTGTTGATGTTTTGGTCTTTGGATTCCTACATTTTGCAAAGTAAATTCTGTAGGTGGAAGTTATGAGACTCTTAATGTGGGAAGTTAAATATGTGACTTGTTGACACGTTTTTAATCACAGCATTGCATGCCAAACACTAACAGCCTAAATATATAGCTTGAGATGTTAGCAACAGCCGGACAGAGAGAGACAAAGGTTAATTTATACAAACTAAATAAAATACTAGATGATTGCATTAATGTACAATGTCTCAACCCTAACCCGGTAATAAAGTCTTTTTTTGTTAAGTTACCACATATTGCCACCACAAACAGGATCAGTGCAGACAGTTAATTGAACTTCCTCACCTCCCTGCCTGAAGAGCAGGAAGTGGGACGTTTTTATACGGTCTTGCTACTCTCATTAAGCTTAGTTTGCAGAAAATCACAGCAGCACCCCTTGAAGATTCAGGGTTTTAATAGGAAGTTTCCATTACATATACATTAAATGTGTTCCAGTTGCTGTAGTTTCAACAAAAATGATGCTTATGTTAAAAATAAATGTTATGAATTGAAAATGGCATGCAAAAGAATACAGCACAAAAACGTAAAACAATAGCACCTAAAGAATAGGACCTCTGCCTGCTTTGGTTCTCCTGCCACAACTGTGGTCTCATCTGAAATGCACAAGTTGTATAAGCATACCTTGACCATAACACTGTTAAGTTTCTGCATTAGATTGCAACACCAAACAGAGGAGATAAGATAGTAGAAGTACGTAAGTGTTAGCACACAACGAACTTAACTCGCTACACGCCTCTCGCTCTCAACTCTGGTTGTGGGCTGAGGTTTCTTTTTTCCGGATTCATGACCAATTGTGCTGTAATTTAATTTTGAAATCTTAAGTCTAATGGTGTAAACTGACTTAAAATAGTTCTGTTTTTGCTTAGTTTAGTACTTGTGAGTCTATGTATTACTGTTATTCAGTGACTAATGACCTGACCCTAGTCTAACTAGTTTCCGCCCTTTTTTCCAGGAGACCACAGTTTCACAAGAGAACAACTAATGGTCGCTCCTGATGATGAAGACACACGCATTTAAAATGACAATGTTGTGAAATTGTTTCAAGGAAAAACTGCTGGGGAAGCGAAATGTGGACCTACTATGACTAAACAACCCATTTAAAAATCAGGAGCGGGCTGGTTCAAAAGGACAACCCAGTAATTAGAATGGCTTTATCGCTGCCCAGTGTGAGCTTGGCAAATACTGATGAGCACAGGACGAATGCATGAATAGGCTTGGACATGGATTGAATCTGCCTTTTGTTTGCTGGGCCTGAGGAGACCCTTTTCCAATAACAACATTCCTGTTCATCCACGACCTGTGTAACCACACTTTTGTAAAGTTATGGCCCATAGTCTAAGAGTATAGCTCTAGCTTTTCAAAGAGGGGGGAAATATTGCTTTATAGTGTTTAATTTTTATCTCTGAACAAAAAAAAAAAACGTTTTCTGCAATCAACAGTTTTGTTATCGATGGAGCACTTTTATAGCTGTATTTACTGTCAATTTATACCACTCAAAATTGTCTTAACACCTGTTGCAAATCTCAAATTGTACGCATTTTTTTGTTTCGTTTGCATTTGGTAAAAAGAAATGTAAAGCTTTAGAGTTGTGTTGTTTTTAAAAGTGCGATGGTTGTAATTTATTTGCGGGGAAGAGAGTTTTTTAATCAGCGAGCTTCCGTGTTACTTCTTAATGTATTCATCCTTAAGTTTTAAACAAGTCTTTTGTATTATTAGACTATATGTTCAGATAAAGCTCATAACTTTTCTCAGGATTTTGGCATATTTTACTTGTAGCTGTATTTATATAGTGTGTAATTTTTGCAGCATAGCACCTCTCCTAGCACCGTCAAATGCATGAATGATTTCTGTGATGCAGTAAAAGATAAATCTGGCCAAAACTGTAACGCAATAAAACCATTACACTTTCATAGAACTGCACTTTGTGTTGTCCTCATTTTTTTCTGTTTGTGTAATAAGTGCCTGTAGGCAAAGAGCTTGTTTGGTACACCTGGAGAAAACTGTCAAAAGCCAAAATAACAGCTGATGATTCATGTGTGCCTTTTGCTGTCGGATGCTGGGTGTAAACATTACATTTATTTGTTTCAGTGCCTCTTACTGATATAGTAAATATTTGCTAGCAATTCCTAATGGTTGATTAATAGACAATGAAAGTATATTAGAGTCATGTGGAAATTGCAGCGAATTGTCAAGAGCTGTCTGGTTGTCTGGTAAGCTGTCTGGTTTCAGCCGGCAAGCAAATTAATGCAAGCGCTGCCCTCTGTACTTTGATACAAGGTTAATATTGATTGATGATTAACTTGACCAATAAGCAGATTATGTTATTGAAGCATTGATAACAATTTTCAAGTACCAGCTATTCAGCTGATGTCTGTTCCAATTTGTATCTCCTCGGCAAGCAAACAAGTGTATTAACTGACTCAGCGTGAAAGTATAATTAATGAATTTGAAAGATAAGGCACAATTGAAGACGGGAGTGTATATGCAAAGCTCCAGTTCTCTGTAAAACTATACTCCTACTATAAATACTGAAACTGTACCTTTGTATACATTGTTTATATCAAGCTAGACTGTACAACACTCAGTGCACTTTTTATTTTACCTAAACAAGTTGATCTACAGTTTGTAATGTTTTACATTAACTTGAATAGACAAAATAAGTGGTAAATAGATAAAGTGTAAGTCATAAATCTCTAAAATGGTTGCTTGTCAGATCTCCTTGATTGTTGTTTCAAGCACAAGAAAATAAACCACCAGGACATTTTGTCAGTCCAGCTGCATTTTTGTGACATTTAAAATGAAAATGTTACAACCCTCGGTTTCACTGCCTTTATTGATCTTTCTTAGAGACCGTTTTATTTTTTTACATCCACCCTTTTGTTCAAAATGGACAGTTTGTGCAAACAACAATATACGTCAGTAGTCACATTTCGTCATTATTTGCCTTTGCTGAGAGCACACAGTGTGCCAGGGAGGTGAGATTGATAGATAACTCTCCTCAGGTTAACTCTGTACCAGGTCAATTGTGGGATGGCCTGCAGAGTGTTATATAATATTAATTGCCCTACCCTTTATCCTAATACACTGATATTTAGATCAAGTGAGTGATAGTGATGCTTCCTATCTAATGATTCATCCATCAATAAAACAAAGCAATCCATAACAAAATATTTCCAGTTGCTGACTCAACATAAATAAAATTGAGCGTCTTGTATTAAAACAAGGACTCTGTTTACAGACTGCAGATTAAAATGTGAATTAAACATCTAATGAAAAACATCATTACATTATTTATCAAAATACAGGGTAGGGTTTTTCTTTAAAGCTGCATCAATTATGCTCTTCTTAATAAAATACTATCTTTTTATCTTTACATTTCGAAGGGCACACACTTCTGATTAGATACACACTGATGTTGAGGTTGGACACTGGTGACTTGACAATTGTGTCCATATAAGTATATTTGAATATGTTTGATTCTTTACCATTTCTTACCGTGTGTTTTATCTGTATTTAATTACTTTTAAGCGTGTGGTTGTCAGTTGGCTCTATTTTAAAAGATGCTATTGTAATATTTGTATGTGTATATAGATTGGGTGCTCCTTGCTGCATTTGAATTTACATGAACAAACATCTCCTCTTTTACTGCATGCGACTATTTCTTTTATTGATTTGATGTCTTTTGTGTTAATGAGCAACACTACTTTCATGTGTGAGGGATCTATATCAGTTTATTTGAATAAACGCCAATGCAGTTCATTGTGCTGATTATTTGGCGCCATTACTGATCACATTCTTCAGGCCTCTTTTATAACACACAGTAACTGCAGCTAATATAACTCATATTTGAATATTCCTATAAAAGTTATATTTGTGTGTTATTTTTCATATAAGATATTTGTTTTTCTTTCATGTGACATTTACCTGTTGAACTTATGAAGTGTGAATGCCCTTTTTGTTTGTCACTTTGGTCAACAGGAATGCGTAATGACTGTCATTTTCTCTCAGTGGAGATGTTGATCTTGGAGGAAACCTTTTTCCGGACCAGATGGAAAAAGGATTGGCATGTATTAAAAACAAAGGCTTACGATTATGTCTCGGAAGTATTTGGCAGTGTGTCAGTTTCGGTGTTGTGTTTTTGTTGTGACAGCTTTATCAAATCTTCTCCATTTGGGTTTGTTTTCATCTCTGTCCCCTTTTGCTTGCCTTCTCACACACTGCTCTCTTTTATCCCTGCTATTGTTCTTTCCATATCTGAGGAGCAGCTTTAGTGATGGCAGAGATCATAAACCATTACAGAAGTTTTCAAACTGTTTCCTCTAACCCTTTACTCTGTTCTTGCAGTGCTGAGATTAAAAGTGCCAAGTATAGTGGGGGACTGTGTCCTGAAATGATAACCACAAACATTTTCTAGGACACCGAAAGAATCGGAAGATCTTTCATGATTCCCTTATCGAAGCGGCTTCAGTACATTGATAGTGAAACACTCATTCATACAGCGGATTGTACGTAGTACTATCAACATTGTGTGGCATGACTGCCCATTGTTTTCTGCAGGAGAGTATTAAAGCCCTTGCTCTGCTCCCTCATAGCCTTAATTTTTCAAATACGCCCATTAAAAGGTTTTTCCAAAGCAGATCACTCCTCACACAGATCTAAACTCCACAGAGTCATTTATTACTCACACAAGGTTCAAGAAATGTAAAGGAGGAACTTCACTTGATGCTAAAAATGCTGAGAACATTAAGAGCACCACATCCTGGGGTTTCAGCACCCAGTGACTCAGTGTTGGCTCCTGTCCAGCAGCTCATATTTTCGGTTTGGTCGTCATGCTTTTACTTTTGTTATAAAGCTAACTTCGCTTCCAGTCTGACCCTGTAATATTCCTTGTTCCTGTTATTAATAGATTTTGTGAAACAGAAATACAAGTTGAGAAGGGTCATCAAGGCAAACTGAAATAGCAATGTTCTTTATAGGCCCCTATAAGGTTACATTTAAGACATTAGTCAACAGAGGCTATAGTGGTCATAGCAGGCCAAGGCAGGCTGGCACAGCAACATTCAGCAGTGGTGCTTTTTGTTTATGGATTTAAATGGAGAAAAGTGCAGGCTTTTTTCAAAATGTATAGCACTATGATTTGTTGCACCTAACCTAAATTCCACAACCATACTCTTATCTGACTTTTGGGGAAACTGCTACAGCAATAATGGGTCAGTCAAAAGTGACTCGTGATAGCAACCGTCCAATAAATGAGTAGTTGTTTCTTATCATGCCATTAAAAATCCCTGACTTCCGCCACACATTGTCCACGGACAACATAGTCCAACCCTGGCTGATGTACACTCAAGTGCCCATGAAACTGAGAAACTGAGGTAACAAATGGCGAATACATTTTCATCCAAAACTATATTCTTACTACAAACCTCTATACCAGTCTGGAAAATATCAGAACATAATTAGCAGGTAGGTGTCCGAGGAAAGTTACTACCAAGAACAGGTGCAAAAAAACCGAAAAGATTAGGACACTGAGGTCTTTACAATTGCAGTACCTCTAGTCACCGTTTCAAAGAGCTGTACTTTTTACTGCTCACTTTTAACGGAAAACACATTGTCCAATAGTACACTGTGTTCTCAAAAGTCCTGCTTTGCTCACCAATCCTCGTCCCTCAGGACAAAGCACCAAAAGAGGGAGTAAACAATAAAATGTAGAAAACAGATTGTGGGCCTGATGCATGTTCTGCATCAAGAAATATTATAATATATATACATTATGCAGTGTGATGGTGCATTCCACACATTTCCCTCTTTGTAGTGACAGAAATAGTTTGTTATTCAATTAAGAAGCTTAAAAACACATTTGAAATATGTTTATTCAACTTTTTCAATTTTAGGGAAGTGCAAAATATCACAATTGATAAGAAGACTTTTTTTATTATTAAATATCTATCAAAAATCTCTAAAAAATATGTTCTAAATTAGCCATAAAAAAGTAATAGTACACATTCATTTACTGAAAGCTCCCATGAATTGGCATTTTAAGATTATTTTCCTCTGAGTTTTGATGGGTTCCCACAGGAATGACATTAAGAGGTACTTGATATGCAAAAACAACTCGTGACTTGATTTAATTTCGAAAACCCAAATATTTTCTTGCACATTTTGTTCAATGAACTTTTTTAACTGTAGATACCACCAAATCAGTTTACTAACCATACATTGGATTATTTTATTTTTTAAATATGTGTCTCAATTAATAACACATTTTAATTTGGTGGGATATTCAACAACCTGTGCTTTGGCTAGAATGCAACAAGATGTTTAATTGACTAACTCTGGTCTTGCTTCTCCCAAAGATTAAAAACAAAAAATATGTAACAGAATGAGTGGGTCAGAAAGACTCATTGTCTGAACTCCCCCCCCAGGACCCTCCCCTCTGACCCCGACTCACCTGCTGACACTAGCCTCCCCTTCCCCCTCCTGCTGCTCGACCTCGCTGACCCCTCAGTCAGCCTTGTCACTGATAATGTCACTAACACTTGATCTTACGGACAGTCCACCATGAGAGCCGTTGCTATGGAGAGAGTGACTGTGTGCATAGCTGTATCTATGGGAGCCGCTGCTTCTGGGAGAGTTGCTGTTGCTCTTAGGATGGCCTGACTGGAAGGTTTTGCCAAAGGAAACCTTATCGAAGGATATTTGGCTACGGAAACTGTTCTCAGAACCTGAGTCCTGCTGGGTGTCAGGCTTTGAAAAATGATCTGGTTCCTCTTCCCCTCCGACACAAGGGTCTCCTGCAGGTCCAGAGGCATGATGGGAGGTCAGCACATCTCCTAGCCTGTCTTCATGCAAAAACTCCCTGACAGAGGGTGGCGATCTGGGCATCGTGCGGTCAGGCAGTCTGACATGAGGAGCGGGCGAGATGCGTACGTCTACCTAAAATCAGAAATTGCATGTTTGATGAGAAAGATGTTGTGGTATATTAAACAAACCACTTCATTAATGGGATGCAGGCTATGAATAAAGTGCTACTTCCAGAAAATAGACAAACTTAGGAACTATAACAACACTATATGATACAGGACAAGCGCCTCATGGAGGACCTTGAAAGAAAAGTTGCTGGTCTCAAAAATATAAATAATCAAATTTGACATGATTTTATATACTGTAATAGGTCAAATTAATCCATGTCACGTCATGCAGTTCGAAAACATTACAATTCAGTTTACAGTGTGTTGTGGTGATTCATCCTTTTAACCAAAGTGTCATATTTGCCCTATACTGTATATAGAATTCATGGTCTAAATTCCTAAGCTACAAATGTAATAATACCAATACTGAAGTTATAACCCAATCACATTTCCCTTGCAATTGTAAAACATGTCCTATACATTGCTTTGTAATGCCTTACCAAAGAGGGAGCATCAGTCTTCTTCCAACCGTCCCCATACTCCCCTCGTCCTAAAGTAGAGCAGAGCTGAGGTCTCCTCGGAGGATGGAAGTCTGACTTGTCAATTCCAGCCATTGAGGCTAATTGGCCGAGACTACAAAAAAACAAAGAAGAGGTTAAATTAATTAGAGTTAAGGAAAGTGCACATGCATTTCATTCACACCCGATAGTCATTTTAGAAACTGACCTGGTAAAAAGTAAAACATTTCTTACATATAGGTTGCTGTGCTCAACCTGATAAATAAAATGGCAGTGAGACGCTACGTACGATTAATAACTTCACGATACACTGGTGAATGAGGCGTATTCAAACCCCACTCATTCAGTAAAAAAAAAAGATACAAAAAAGGAAACATCCACAACAGCCCACTCAAGAGGAAAAAACTTCAGGGGAGTAAAATAGTTTCTATATTACATCCATATATGTATGTAATGTGCTATTCGGGGGCTAAAAGGCTAATATAAATTAAAGCTCTATGCTCTGTCATGGTGAAACTCATCCGGTCAAAATGAAAGTATCTTTTAAACTGGGCACAGCACCATGTTTCTAAATGGAGCATCAGAACAAGTAGACTTCTGTTTTTAAAGGGCATCTCAGAACGAAACAGAAATCCAACAAAGTGACAGTAAGTAGTCTGTTTACAAACGTAGCCCATCCAATAAATAGATGGAGATAAACATCTGACCCCGGAGTCAGTGATAGGATGTGCTTTTAAGCTTTTGAGTCTTTATGAATACAGAAAGGGTTTACTTGACTGTTTCACTTTGACATCTGAGGTCATCATGCAGTCCAGTATGATGGACCATCAACCAGCCAACTTTGAGATGATCGAAATGTAGAGCAAATCGAATAACACTAAATGTATTATCTTATACCTTAATATTGCAATTATACTGTAAGGTTGACTGGTTGATTTGTGCATTGACAAAATATTCACACAATCTAAAAAATCTTGTTGAATAATCACAAGTAGTAATCAGCAGTGAAGCCAGGCTTCAACACGTGTATTTCGGTTTATTCAAAGCATTCATTTTGTTATTCTACGGTATTGTTGTTTTATAGTTATTTGTTAATGCAACCCAATTTGTGTTCTTTGAAATTGAAAAGGATATTGCATTGTGTTTGTTACTTTCATTGCAGTTGTATATGTCTTCAGTGTAATTTGGCTTGGCTTCCTATTTTGTATGGACATGCTTTTATTTTGAAGGAGAGTTAGCGCTGTTGACAGGAAGTTGTTGTTGTTATGAAAACAACGTGACGGAGAAAAGGAGCGGGGATTAACGGAGAAAAGTAATATCTACATATAAAGAATGAGAAAGTAAAGGATAAAGTTTATAGTTAAGTGTTAGCACCCCCCGAAGAGGCACAAGCTCTAACGTTGATATTGGAGATTTCAATCAATTCAATTTGTCAGCCGCAGTGCAGCGCAGCTGACAAACCCGAATAACAAATTGAAAACCGAATAGTAGGCCAACGACCGAATATTTGGATATTCGGGTACAGCCCTAAAATATATCAAGACAAAAAGTGAGCGAATACTTTTTCCTGAAACTTTCAGAATCTCTTTACACAGAGGGGGGACATGTTTATGCATAAAATACATGAAAAAGTGGATTTTGCATAATAGGTGACCTTTAAAGTGTCATAAAGCAATGTTTGAAAAAACATCCTTAATAGACAGTGTTATCAGCTTATTACTGATATGTTAGTCAACTAAGTGGACTAGCAGACTCCGAGCGCACTGAGTATCACATAAAGTTGTGCACAATGTTCACTCATCCCTTATCTTGTAGCACTCGTTTAGCCCACCCATTTGTGGAAGAAAGATATCTATCCTGCTAGATGTTTAACTTTTGTATCTTCTATAATCTATACATTCAATTTTGTGCTGAGCAGGTAGGGTTGACTTGGCTTGTCTGAGCTCATTTGCTTTAAAAGAAAAGTCCTGTTGTTTTATAATGAGAGTTGGGGAGAGCCGTTAGGAGTAAACCATACATTGTTATTTTTGTAAAGATCTATATACTATACCTGAATACCTATTTAATAATTTGCTAAATCTCATCTGCAAAAACAATGATCTGATTATATTGTAGTCCCCTAACTGGTGTTCAACTAAATGTACACTTTGGGTTGTAGTACGGTGGAAGCGGCTGTGTTTTATTTATGCAGCAAACCCAGCAATTGCAGCTGTACACTGTTGATGCAAGTAAATGCAGGTAACAAAGATGGCTGCACAGCAAGGCTTTGTCACCTTTTTACTGATATTCACTTTATGGCCAAAGTAAAAAAACGAGACAGAATCTGATAATGGCCATTGACAATGACAATGCAACTGATCAAAGCAACACATTTAAAACATAGGTAGATAAGGACTGAATGAAAATAATAAAAGGCTTAAATTAATGAATGATAACTAGTGGACGTCTCAAAGTGAAAGCATTGTATCAGAATGAAACTCTCCTACAGAAAAAAGGGAACAAATAGACCACTCTTTTGAAAGGGCATCCCAGAATCAAACAGAGATCCAACTATTCATTTACAGGAAGCAGTCGGTTTACAAAGATATCCTGGCACTCTGGGTGTGTGCACTAGAGCCACATCTTCCCCTCAGTCATGTGGCAGGATCCCTTCATCACATTACTCTTTTGCACCATCATTTACAAGCTCTCAAAATACTTTGCTTTTTCACTTTGATTTCTGATCATCTTCATCTACAAAACATGATGTGGTTTTTACATACACAAGGTCTAAGTCTATGTTACTAAGCTCTAGTTTTGAAATATTTAAAAAATATATTGTCAATGAATGACTTTTGGGCAGTTTTTAAACCATTGGCCAACAAAATGTAAGGCATCACCTTGGTTTCGATTACCTAATAGACGTTTACCTAAAAATATAATAAATTGATTGATAATAACAATGGTCCCGGAAGAAATGATACGAAAACTAAATCTGATAAAGAAAAATATGACAATAAAAGTTAAATTAGTTCAAAAACAAGAATGAAACTCCTTTGTGACTCATCAAGTCAGCAAGTGTGAAAAACCAACATCATATGATGGCAGAGCGGAATTTCCACAGATATCTTATGTAATTGAAAGTCACAAGGCTATATAACAATTATTTAAACCACAGACACCCAAAAACAATTTGGCAATGTCCAATTGAACAATGGAAAAGAGTTCTGACCCAGCATCCTTGAGGAGATCCAGGAAGGCATGGAACTTTGTGAATGAGCTCTCGAAGCTCTCCAGGACGGCCTCATCTTCCAGAGCACTGACGGCCGCTGGAGCTGAAGCAGAGCCGGTGGCAGCCAACGCCTCCGAGAGGGAGAGGTTGTTGTCACGGAGACGGGCATTGTCCAACTCGTACTGCACAGAAATAAGAAAGAAATAGAGAATAAAAGAGCATAAGGAAGCCAGTCTTTTGATGGTTCATTTCCAAAACTACTTTACACAGTTCTGTAACTTAGACCTGTGACAAACATGACATAATTGGGAGAAGTAAGTGTCCCCTTTTGAGTGGCCCTTGAGCACAGCACCGGACCCCTACTCTGCTCCACTGTAATACCTGCTGACTGCCCTAATACTAGGACGGGTTAAATGCAGAGGCTACATTTCACTATGTGTTCGGTGCTGTGTACACAGTTGATGCTATAATGAGGATTTGATTTCAATCTTTATTTACTGTTGTCTACGATCTAAGGACATTTCAGGCTGAACAATAAACACTTTAGAGTTAAACGACCATAATTATCCAAGGGCTGCTTCAGTGTGGCTGACCAACACCTAAACTATATAATGCTAGTGTGGAGTCTAAATTCTGCTATGTGATAGCAGAAAGCTCGGCACAGACAAGATTCCAGTTGCAAAAGAGGAAAACTGAAGAAAAATAAATGGGGGAGAAAATCATATGTTATTATTTTGAGATCATCATTACCTCCATGAGCCTTGACTCAGCTCTCAGTCTGGCTCTGCGCTCCTCTGCCAGTCTCAGACGACATTCTTTTAGCTCCATCTGCAGGGCGTAAAACACACACGGATATACAGCATGTTCCCAGTGCTTCATAGTAGGGATGCCAGCGATTATTCGATTATTCGAATATTCGTTACAGTCTCCATAATCGAAAATTATTTTTAAAAATCGATTTTATTGATATATTTTTTTATTATTATTTATGTTTTTTTTTTTTTTCCTGGCTTAGTTTCAACCAAAATATAGACTAATGCTAATAATAGTAATAGTATTAACAATTGTAAATGGCCATTGGTCACACCACCAGTTTGTTTTACTGTAAACTTTGGATCGATAATCGATTATTATTCGCCAGGGCTGTCCGATTTTGATCATGGTCAGTTTCTGGCATCCCTAAGTCATAGTAAGATTAGCACTTGTCTTACATACAAAACTTTTAAAAGCTCAAATAACATCCAAGCTGTTTGTTAGCCTGATGTGACCAACCTGTAAATGGTTCAACTTCCGCTCAGTGTCCTGGAGATGAGGAGAAGATGGTCTCTGCTCCACTTCCAAGACTAATTCTTCATCTTCCACTTCCTCATAGTCATCTGCCTCTGAATCCGTCTCCATAGTAACTTTCACGGTAGCTGCACCCTAATGACAAACCATTAAGTTGAAAAAAACGATTTGTCTGCTGTATGCTTTACACGGTTATTATGATACATTTGAATTTGTTTTGTAGCTTCTACAGTTACACACTGTATATAAACAAAAGAAAACTCACCTCAAAGCTTTGATCCATCACACAAACTCCAGGAGGAAAACCTCTGGAACAAAGGCATCAAACAGAATATTAGTGTAGAGTGCCATCACAGCGAAACCAGGCGAATGCCATGGAAATAAAGGAGGTACGTTTATTTCGGGATGGTTCAGGGGACATGTTGAGAGAATGAAGCCAAAACAGTTTTATCATTTAAAAAATGATGCAAGAGTGTTGATTGGTTTGCCAACATCTCCTCACCTCTGGCGTTCAGCTCGTGCAGCAGCTCGCCAAGGTACACACTCTGAGCGGGAATAAGGCTTCTGGGTCGGAGCAGCGTCTGAACTCCCTCCTCTGGGAGATGGTCCTTTACGAGGGGCTGCACCAGAAAGACAGCCCTGTTAACAACTGGACATTCATGGGAGAGCTTTGAGCCACACAGGGATGGCTATCACAAGCAAAAGAGAAGAAAGGCTAATGAGTCCAGTTGAAAACATTTGTTGTATATCTATCAGTTATTGAGACAGAAATATGGCACATACATACATCTTTTGCTTTTGAAATGTATTAGAGGGTATTCACTGCAAGGGGAATCAAAATGGTTGACTTTCTACCAAGGAACTACATAATTATCCCATCTATATAAAAGGTAGACTTGTTGTTAAAACCTTTTTTTCAAGGACATCCAACCCATATCAACAATTTTTTGAATTGCAGAACAAAGATAGAAGAGGAAGAAGTTCATACCATGTCTCCAGATTACTTTAAAGCCAAAAGGTAACAAAGAAAACAGGTAAGTATGAAATAAAAAAAGGTATCTCAAACGCAACAAAAGAGATCCAACACTGAAGGTTGTGCAATGTATTCATTTACCTATCCTAAATGTAGTTTTCCCCCTGGCTGTGCTGGGTACAACTCTCCTCTTAGGAGCAGACGCTCTCTGTGGCTCTGAGGCTGCAGGCTTGATCCAGCAGTACTGTAGTACAACATGAGGAGAATACAAGCCATGACCACAACTTTGCTACAAAGAAGAAGCAAGCATGCACTCTGCATTTGGAAATAATTTGATATATCCTAAAAGAAGGTCGGCTGAGATGCATTGCACAAACAATTATTTTTAATGGCTTGGGTGGCACTGCTCGGGAGCGAAGGGGGGGGGGGTTTATTTATTTATTTTTATTATATACTATTTTGTATGTTCTTTCCCACTATGACTATGTATGTCATTAAGTATAGTATTCCTGTCATGATATGTTTTTCTTTTTATTATTTCTTGTTGGCTGTTGTGTTTGTCTTCTATGTTGAAAAAGGGAAGCATTATTTCCACCCCAAAGAAGTCTGTACTATTGCTATGCTTGTATGCTTCTTCTCAATACAAATATTTGAAACAAGCAAGCATGCAACAACACCACTCATTCATTAAGACCCTGAATAAAGACATTAGCTGAGTCACTCACCTCTGAAGACTGTCCGTCAGCATTCATCAGTACTTTCTCTAGAACTGTTTTAATTAGAACCTTGTCTGTGAAAAAACAAAACATTCATTAAGGTGAAATATTTCTCCAAAGATTGATGATTTTTTGTTTTCAGTTATGCTTTCAGATTGGATAACAATTATAGTAACAACTAATTATATTATTTTAGAGAAGCTATTGCATTTTTTGCTATGGAAAAACTACATACTTCATACTTGGTTAGAATAAGTATGCCATTGGGAAGCAGCTAAATAAACATCCAACAGAGCACTAGCTTCATCTAGAGGCCAAAATTCTTATTACACCTACACGTACTGTGTGAAAAAAATACACTTATCATTTATTATATTGTCCAAAGTTTTCTCCTGTGTGAAAAACATCTAGAATATCATATAAGTTTGATTTTGGAAGCTTCTTACCAATTAAAGGGTTGCTACGGATGTCCAGCACACAAAGGGCAGAATTTGTTTTCAAGGCTTCCAGCAACCGGCGAGCCCCTTCGTTGGACAGACCACACCTCTGTAGGTCAACAGCTGTTCAACCAATCACAAAACAACATCGAACGTGAGCACAATGCCTGCCAAAACAGCAACAAAACACGCTTTGCTTTGTCTCATTGTTATTCTGTCAGACCCACACACCGACTCACCTTTAACCCAGAGGTCCTCTGCCAGTTCATGAGCAAGAGCAGCAGCGCCCCGGTCCCCGATCAAGGTGTTACAGTTCAGTGTGACACGGCGCAGACCTCCCATACCCTCAAACTGAGGATGACGATACCTCAGAGACTCTGCCCATGCAGTACCATGCCTCTGCATTCCCTGATGCTGAGAGGAACAATTGCATTCATATACAATTCTCTTTTTAAATACAGGTACATTTTTAGAAGGGTCTGGGTTTACAATTATTTAATAATCACTACAGAAGATAGAACACATTCAATATAGTTTGCCAGTAACATCTCAAATGTGAGATGTTGCACCTTGATGATGTTGGCCATATGCTCTGCCCCTCTCCAGGTGAGATGACATCCTGTAAAGTCTACCGTCCTGATGCTTGAAGAATACTTCACACTTTGGCAAATAACTGAAACAGAGGAAAATGTAAGTTACAAATACATCATGCTCACATACTTCACGGTCTAGTGAAGGAAATATGAATAATAAATAATACTTTGAATATACAAACCCTCTAAGCCTTCGTCAGAGATTGGACAGTTAGCCAGAGATAGGTTTTCCAAGGAAACACTTTTTGCAAAACCCTGGAAGAGAATATAATTGTCTCATTATTCTTTCAATCCTAAACAGAGCTTCTATCAATATTCAGGTTTTCTGTCATGCACATCAATATGTTAGGTTTTCTCATCCTAGGTATCAGTAGTCAACACCAATTACGGTAAACAGGGTTATATTTCAACACAGATTGCAAATTTGCTTAGTGCCTGTCTCTGTATACTGTAAGTGAAACATCAACAATGAAATGGTTGAAACTTTACTCTTTGCACTTCAAATCATAGATGTACCTTTGTCAATGTGATGAGGTCCCTTTCTCTCAGCGGAAGTCCATTAAGCTGCAGAGTCTTCAGGTTAGGAGAGACAGTCAGACACTCTCTCAGGGCCTTGCACAGTTTAAATGTCATGTCCTTAGAGCGAAAGGCTGGGATCCTCTTCCTGAGACAAGACTTATAGAACCTTTTGTCTGGAATTGGTGGCGATATGATTAATGTTCATTTACAAAATTGGACATTCAGGTTTTGAAATAAACTATATTTGAAAAACATGATTAATTAAGAGGTCAAAACAGCAGTTATTCCCACTATCACTTGGTGCGCCAGGATTAATGTGTTGCCTTACCTGTATCTCCAGAAGCCATACTAGCTTGGTATGTGCTACTTATTGCAATGTGATGTAAGTGTTTGTTGATGCAAATAGAGTTTAAAATCGGGGGCCAGTCAGTGAGTCTGACCCGGTCTCCATTAAAGTCCAGTATTCCTTTGCCCAGGTTCATTTTGACAGCAGGGAGAGGGACTGACTCCTGTCTGGCACAGGCAGAGTCATAGAAGGCCAAAAAGTCCTGGCCCCCCCGCCCCCGAATGTGAGCACTGTCTTGAACCATCTTGGACCTGGAATAAATATATTTTTGAAAAGAAATTAAAAAGCGTTTCAACAGTCAGAATAATTCAAGGTTAATAATGCCATGAGATTGTGTCTTCTACTTTTACTACTATTAAAACTTGATTAGAAATGTCTACAGTATAATGTTTTTTTAAAGTCACATTAGTACATATTCTGATATCTGACACCAAAAAGGGTGACCCCATATAAGAAGGGTAACTACATTTGATAAGTGTTAGCTAAACAAGTAGTAGGGATAAATATTGGGAGTAGTTCAGAGTCAATACCAATTATATGCAGTCAATTAACATTTCCTCAATAGCCAGTGGTGGGATGTTGTGAGGTACATTTACTCAGGTACTGTGCTTAAGTACAATTCTGAAAAACTTGCACTCTACTTGAGGATTCGCATTTTATGCAAATTTATACTTGCACTACACTACATTTTGAAAGCCAATGTTGTACTTTTTTCTCCAAAAAATGTATTTGAAAGCTTTAGTTACTATTACTATAAGTGAATACAAATCAACTCATAAACAAACATAGATAGGCTATATTAATATAAATTAGATCCTAACTTATATTATTAATATACCTTTATGTTTGTTTATTATTGCAGTACACAAAGTCAATTACATTTGCTCTACATTTACGAGTTGTTATAAAGACATTAATGCATAATAATAATCTGTAATTTAATATATGATTCTGAAATGGGCCAAATGGGTACAAATGTTGGCAGCACTTGAGTATATTTTGATGCCACTGCTTTTATACTATTACTTGAGTAATATTTTGATTGTAAAACGTTGAATTGTAACGGAGTAGTTTTAAAATGAAGTAATGCTACTTACTTACTTAAGTAACAAATCTGAGTACTTTTACCACCAATGTCCACAGCTGACCTCCCGTTAAAGATGACAGACTTCAGTGTAACATCTGAACATCAATGTTAGACTTAACAGTACACACTAAGAGATGGTTTGGTTGGTTAGTAGTAAGTATATGCCACTACTTTTAGACTTGTAATTAGTAGTAATTAAACAAAGTGGGAATTTAGAGTGCAGACAACCAGAGGCAAGTGGCGTTAGCAAGCTAAGCTCGTAGCAACCGTTGGTAGTGAAGGAAAGTGTCAGGCGGTAACTAACAAGTCGTAAACAGTCTTTAGCTGCACTTTCATACACTATTAAATAACATTTATAAACATTAAGACATACCTTCCACATATACCTGAAGGCTCTGTCTTTGTGGCACTGCTCCCTCGTTTGTTCTTGAATACTGACTGACAACTTATGTTATTGTTAGAGATGTGGATGAGTGCTCAAAAGTGGCGCTGTTGTGTTGTGCGGTTCATATGCGGTGAAGGCTCGCCTCTTCCTCTCCTCTTCCTCACTGTGTGCTGCCACCTACCGGGGCGGAGGTACAGTGGATATATGAGAGCACATAAATGCATCAATATTTATAATGCAATAATTTTATTTAAATGTCGTATTTGACTATATGCAATTTGGTCACCAAGAAGGGTCAACAGAAAAACGCCATTTTGTTTGGTGTATTTCATATTTTAGACGTGTACAAGTTTATCTAGCAAAACAAGTTAATGTTTTAGCATTTTGGGCGTGGATTATTTTATATTTCATTGATGAAAATATCCTCCAATTCTTGATGACCCAAATATGTTTTATGAAATTATAATGCATTTAGAAAAACATAATGCAAATGTCAGACATAACAAACAATTCATGGAGGAGTCAATTTCCAACATAACCCTTTTTTTCAGTCGTCAGTTGAATTTTTTATTTTATATCACTTCATTTACCAATTTATAATATTAATAAATACACATTGTAAGCATGTTTGATGAGTCCAACTGTGCACCACAGTTCAACCAATTGCTTTATTACTTTAATCAACATTATTAGTGAACTGACAAATTACATGTGTATATGTCCACCAGACAGTACTGGCAAGTTTATTTTACAACTTAAATGTATTTTTCAGTACATTCAATAGTCACCACAGTTTAATACCCATATTTCAGGACTCTAATCAAACGTAAAATATTTAAAAATAATATCATCCAATACAGAAGCCCATCTCAAACTCAAATAACAACATTAATCCTCAAAAACCCAGTATTGGTCGAACTTTAGTGCAGATCTTTGTTTTTTACACTTTAAAATACTGCTATCCTACTAAAATGCTGTACAAATCAGATTTATTTTGTAATAAAGAAACATTTTCCGAGTAAAAAAATATTTTATTGAAAAAAAAAAAATTGAATTTTTTTCTTCCCTTTATTATTCAATATCGCGATAAATACCGTACCGTGGACTTGTTATCGCGATATTATCGTACCGAGAGTTTTGGGTATTGTTACATCCCTAATTTACATCGTTCTTTTTATAGACTATTTCTACAGTGGTATAGGATGGATGGTCCATGGATACACAGATGGTTGACACATTTAAGAAAAAATAAATAAAGTGTAGTAGTCAGGTGTTCACGAATCTCCAGTTACAGAGCTAAATACCCTTCCACTTTTTCTTCGGCTTGTTTGGAAGCATCTGCAATTCTGTTATGATTCACTATACAGGGTTTCTTTTAATTTGTAATTTGCTTGCACAGATTTTGACACAATGGGCCCCTTTGCACAGACATGCAGAAAACTCCACCACCTCCCCAACATAATAGCAAAACACCCAGACTTTAAAGTTGTTTATCCTGTTTTTGTTGTTTTGTGTCTCTTTTTTGAAGCTATCTTCTGTCGGTGGTTGTTTTGCATCTCTTTATGGTAATTTTGTACTCTTTGTATTCATTTTATGTCTCTTTGTGATCATTTTGAGTTTCTTCCTGGTTTGTACATGTCTCTTTAAATTACATTTTATATATGAAGTCAATAGGGGCCCCTGACACTTTTGGGCCCTGGGTCTGAGCCCTGTGGGCCCATTCATTTATCCACCAATGTCTGCCTGTGCACAAATTAAATTTGGATTCTGAAAAACCAAAACAATAAATACATATTCTTTCCAGTGTTTGAATAAATAAACCGATATCCTTCATTACTTTGGATCTAACAAACCACTGCAGCAGGTCAGATATTGCCGTAGATGTTATCCCTCAGACCCTCCCCAAATGTGAAGTTCTCCTCCGAGGTTCTCCTTGCCTCTTTGAAGAGCCTCTCGAACCTTCTCAGAAACACGATGAGAGCCACGAGCAGAGCCGCCTGCACCACCACAAACACAAACAGACACACCTGCGAGGCCAGAGCCAGGTCGCAGTACCAGTAGTGGCAGGACTCCAGGACCTCCTTCTCCGTTAAATACACCACCAGCCGCCCCCTCAGGCCGGGGGGGGAGCTGCAGTTGACGCCCAGATGTGACATGAGGGAGATGGGCTGACGCAGCAGCCAGGCGCGCAGATAGAGGACGCCACAGTCACACTCCCAGGGGTTTCCATGTAGAGAGACGGAGCGGAGAGAGGTCAAATCCTCCAGGAGCCCGTTAGGGAGGTGGGTCAGCCGGTTGTTGTGGAGGAAGAGGGAGGTGGTCCCTGTCGGGAAACTGGTGGGCAGCGAGGAAGAGGTGAGAGACCTGCTGCTACAATCCACCTGACCACCATGACATGAGCAAAGTTGAGGGCAGGCGAATGACCTTTGACCTCCAAACAAGGGGAGCAGACACAGGAGCAGAAGCCCCTTCATGGTACCAATCACTGGAGAGAAGAGAACAAAGATTCATGTGTACCCAAGTGAACATTTGAGACTTGAGTATTTCTGACCCATGCTACTTCCTGCTTTGACTACTTTTTGCAGGCAAATACTGTACTTTTGACTTCATAATGTTAATATGACAACATCGGTTACTTTGCAGTTATATTTGTAACTCAAAATATTATCAACAAATAATCATTATCATCAGTAAGGACAAGATAATACTTTGACCCAAGGGGAAGAACATTATAAGCTAGACAGTAATCAAATAATAAACCAAGTTTTGGAACCTTTTGCATAAGGAGTGGGTCATTTTACTTGAAAACTTTGAATGCACAGTTTTCCACCACAGTGGGATGCATTTACTTGAGTAAAGGGTAATTATTCAAATACTGGTAACTTGGATACATTTTATGTTTTACATTAGACAAAAAGGAAAAAAAAGAAGTAGCAAATGCTTGTTGTACCTCTTGTTAATCTGTAGGAACACTTAAAAACAGGCACACGGTCTGCTCTTGACTGTATGTTATCTATCTTTTGAGAAAAAAATAAGTGATAATTCAGCTGTCACTGGAGGGAATATGCAGGTTTAGCCAGACATCAACCAGTACCATAAGCTATATTAAACAAGTTTGCAAAAAACTAAACTTTAATATTCCGCATTGCTGACTGGCATATCAATTAAGGTAAAAGTAGGCAAATGTAGTGTCAAGGTAATGACTTCACATTGGAACAGTGTTATCTAAACACAGATAAATTACATTCATGTACTTATTAATATTTATTTGGAGTGTTATTGAACACTGTTTTATTGATGTTTATTATGTAGTTCAAGAGCTGTTTGAATCTAAAATGATGAGAAAAACAATGAAGTTGTTCTTCAGTCGATCCAATCATTATGAAACTTAAAGCCCTTAATTGTATGTCAGCTCTGTGGTTCTTAGGATGTACTTTGTGTTGTTGAGTGAAGGTGAAGGTTTTTTAATTGTTTTTCTGCCATATATTCTCTCAGATCACAACACCAACATTATACAATTTACTGAAACGTAGTACTGTGTTGATATCATTGGTTCAATACATAACATACACAAGGAACATTTGACAACCCAAAGCATGCTTTCAGATGTATTTTTATCTAACTCATTGTGTCTTCTCTTAATCAAAATCTCAACCCTGAGGTCAGGACATTCCAGTCTGTGGCCGAGACCCCATGGGAGAACCCTTGATAAACAAATAGGGCATAAAGCACTGACACCGTGTGTAGATTTAGGTGGGATACTATTTTTAAACTAATCTTTTACATTCTGTTTCCACTCCTTTAAAATAGTAGTTCTGCCAAACTGGATTTGACAGCTTTTTTTAATTACCATATTTTATTTTTGCATTATTGTTCTACTGATATTGTCCTTTGCATCAGAAATAAGGTTACATTAAATTGAGCCAGGAAACAATTGTTTAGCATCAGTAATATTAAGAAAGATACAGAACTAAAATGTTTTAGGAGAGTCATTTACCTTCAGTGCTGCGTGTCTTCAGGAGTGGACTGTGTTTCCCTGTGTGTGTGTGTGTGTGTGTGTGTGTGTGTGTGTGTGTGTGTGTGTGTGTGTGTGTGTGTGTGTGTGTGTGTGAGCCAGCTGCCACCAACTGATAAAGACCTCTGACAAATATGAACACGCACAAAGACGTCTAATAGGACATGGAAAGTATCTCCAACAACTTTTTATCTTAGCGGTTGTTATTTTTTAATGAATTAGGAAGTTCACTGGAAAATATGTTTGGTAAACTGAGTGATTGTTCACTTTAAAGTTTCCTAGAACTAATAAAGAGTTTTTAGTCAGCAGGTCAGCTTCAAGCTAAACAACTGAAATAATGATTGCTTAATATTATCACTCAGTAATTTAATTACCTGTAAAAAGTTGTGTATTTAAGACATTGTAAGACAGCATGGTCTTAACAATGGATAATTACCAGTGATAGCAGAATACTTGGATATTTTCATTTTCACCCTATACTTATTAAACCCTACTATTCAGGGTATAATATTCAAATATTGTAATTTGTATTGCACTGCATTTATTCAAAAATACAAGGTACTTTTAAGATTCAGATGAATAAGACACATAACAACAGATAAATGACGATGTTATCCATGTTGTTACAAACATTACTTTTTTATTTTCAGTTAAGATTGAATTCAGAAATTTGACTTGTACATTTTTACTTTGTAATATAGTCAAAGTCCCTGTAAAGGAAAATGCAGTTTCTGTTCTGCTCTGACAGGCAGCAGATGATGTGCAGAGCAGAGGAAGAATGGCTGCAGCAGATAAACATGAATCAGCAGATAATGCTGCAGCTCTGAGCTCAGACTGACAGGCGGAAGTGACGGAGGATGTCGAGCTCACGCTGTAATACTCAGACAAACGATGCAGATTGACGAGAAACTAAAGTTTATTTGTAACACTTTTATAAATGGGGCACAGGCTGAGCTTACAGCATTCAGGCAAAATATGTACTGTTTCTCAGCATCAGCCCACACACACACACACACACACACACACACACACACACACACACACACACACACACACACACACACACGCACAAAAACACTCGCACATAGGATACACATCTTCACTAGCAGAATGCATCAACTCACTTTCAATCAGAGAGATTTTAAACAGAAGCACAGACAGCAGCTGCTCCTCTTTATCATTTTATGTTATTATTGGTCTATTTTTACCATAACGGCAACAAAGCATACTTATGTATTTTAATACAAGCATCGGCTATAAAGCAGGAGAAATATGCCCACAGCCTTTAGCGGATATGAGTAATGACAACATGCTTGCACATGCACCCTGAACTGCACCGACCCTCTCATTATGTCAAAGGCTTTATCCTCCATTCACAGATAGCTACTGGCAATAAGTGCATTTTCAGTCAAAGATATGTTGACTTGCCATATGTGATAAATGTCACAGGAAAGACATTTATGGGGATCAGAGAGCAAAATAACAAGAGAAAAAGTTGGATTTAAAAAAAAAAAGAATAAGACCCAACGTGGTTAAAAGGGAGTTATATGGACGGACAACTGGAGGAAATATCATGAAATGCAACACACACACACACACACACACACACACACACACACACACACACACACACACATATATATAATAAAAACAATATCCATCAAATGTTAACATCACCAACAACCTACATTTCTTTACAAAACATCATACCCTGACAAAATATCCAAAAAGTTTAGCATTGCATTTATAAATTAGATACAGAGAGTAGTAATTTAAATTACGCAATTATATTATATACTGTATGTTAAGACTGTTAAACCACAGCAAGAGGCTCAAGGTGGACAAACGGAGAGTTTCAGAGACAAAAAACACCCTCTGACAAACAACCGTCCAGGCAGACAAACTATACAAAGCACCAAACTGAGGATAAACGTACAGCCGGAGCTGCCAATAACACGAGATTTCCATGTTCAAAGTCTGCAGTCTCACTGCGGTTCAGGGGAGAAACAGCAGGTGGCGCTGCAGCACAGACTGACATCACTGCTCTTTGTCGTGCATCTGCTGCTGCATCTTATTCAGCATTTCCTGCATCCTCTTCAGCTGCACACGGAGAGAAACACTCATTAATACCTCCTGCATGTAATGCTAGTGTTCATTTAATGGGAAAAAAGACAAAATATTACAGGCTCTAGGACTAAGAAAGTAATCACTGTTTTCCTTCACGATATTGATGATGAAAAGTTGGATTTTAGTCCCACATCCACATTATAGCACTCAAAAAACATAACAGAATCCCCAGAGGGTTTTGTACTTATGTAAATGCTATACCTAAATGAGATTTTCTGCATTTGTTTAATCTTTCTTTTTTTATATTTATACCCTTCTAGGATATATTAATGAAAAAAACATATTCGATCAGAAATCAAAACATGAACTGTTTGGTGAAACAAATAAAGTGGCTTCATACCTCCTCATCTTTAAGCTTGATTAGTTTCTCAGTCTCTACATCCGGTGTGGACAGTGGCAGGATGGGGATGGGGCTCTCCATTCGGTTGTCCTGAGCCAGTTTACTGAGGATGAGGAGAAAAAGATAATAGGGGGGAGAATAGGTGACTCAGGCAAAACTGTAGGATACTAAAATCTGTGAAGATCAGCAGTTATCTGAGATGTTTACAAAACATTTTCCCTCTCTCCTGTTCACACCCACCTGGTCATCTCCTGTATGCACTGCGCTCTGTAGTTTTCGTAGTGCACGTCGCAGGTCACATCTTTAAGGTCGTGCATGTGTGAGCGAATCAGCATGTTCCTCAGTTTCACAAAGTCACAGTGCGACTGGTTTTCCACTGAGAAAAGCAGTAGGAAAAATATTTTAATAACCCAAGCTATTACATTCAAACTCAGTGTAATAACAGGAAGATAAAAGCACCTTCAACGATCCCCCATGGGTACAGCCTCCCTCTCACTCTCTGCCCCCGCGCCTCCACCACTGTGTTACTGCCGATCACAGCGAAGGGCGTGCACTCCTGCACACAAAGACACAAGGGCCGGTTTGTTATCTTAACCCTGAACCATCCAGAGACAGCTGACTGAGCATGCTGGCCCCAGTTCATACTCACAGAGTTATACACATGCAGAAAAACAAACAGATGGTTGTTTACTTTTCTTTCACAGATTTTCCCAGCTGATCTGTGACACACGGCACAAACCAAAAACGTTTCAATGCTCGGACACGTCATGTTAGGGTCATTGACAGGGCTAAGGGTAAGTAGATCAGGAGGATATATAGAGAAGTGAAACTAACATTAATGATGACTAGACTTCCAAAGAGGAGTGAGTCACAACACTGAGGTCCTGTTTAACATATTGGGGAGTTTTTGATCAAGTATGTCCACACCAGGATTTATTCCCAGTCATGAAAAAGATTACTTTAAAACAGCAATAGAGGCATTTATGTTGGGAAATATGATTTACAGAAAAACTAACCATACAGCTAAACACATTAAAAATACAGTAAACAAATAAATAGTGTTGTCAGTATTCTTTAAGAGAGGGTTTGTTCTCCAGTATCTGTAAACTCAAGGGAGGGGGGTACTGAAGAGGGACCGGCATGAGAACATTTGAGGAGTCTAGACATTTACTCATCCCAAAATCAAAGATTAAAATATTTTTTCTCCCAGCATGCCTGGTCCTAAAACGTTTCTGTGTAAATGACCTTAATCTTTGTTTAGAGGTACAGCTAATTCCGTGAAGAATGAATGCGTTCATGAACTGGACTTACCTTCAGCTCTTTGTCAAGCTGTTTAAACTCTTCATCCTCATCAGAGTCGCATTCAGGGAACTGGTACACCTTAATCCCAAACTTGTCTATTTCCTCTCGTATCTAAAGATAAATCAGAGTAATGGTCGCAGTGAATGATCTGCATACAGTTTAACATGCTGAATTCACTGTGGAGCTGCAGCTCGGAGACTCACTCTGTCTTTGAGCTTCTTTATCTCGTTGGGCGTGAGACAGTCGGCTTTCGCGATGAGTGGGATTATGTTCACTTTTTCATGTAGAGCCTTCATGAACTCGACATCGACCGGACGCAGTCTGCGGAGAGGAATCCAGCGTCAAGTACAGCGAGAGTACATTTCCCTAATCAAGACACCTTAAAGCGACGATTCCGTGCAGAAAATACGCAGGTAGAAAAGACGTTTCCTGCACCAATAATGAAAAAGGCGTGTGTGTGTATCTGTGTGTGTGTGTGTAATTACCCGTGCCCAAATGGAGGGATGAAGTAGAGGCAGCAGTGGACTCTGTTGTCCTGGATGTTCTTTCTGTTCAGTCCGCTCTCATCCCTGAAGTATTGCTCAAACTGCTGATCTATGTAGTCAGTGATTGGCTTCCAGCTAGGACACACACACACACACACACACACACACACACACACACACACACACACACACACACACACACACACACACACACACACACACATTGAATTGTAGCTTGCAGGCTGAATGAGGCAGTGTCAGAGCAGCAGGTCTCCCAGCTCACCACTCGTTGTTGTTGACGGCATCTCCGAACCCCGGCGTGTCGACGATGGTCAGCTTGAGCTTGACTCCTTTCTCCTCGATGTCCACAGTGTGTTTGATGATCTCCACAGTCTGGTTTATCCGCTCTGCAAAGCACCCACACAGAGAAGGAGAATGAGACAAATGAAGGAAAGCATCTTTGTTTTTCTGCCTTTAGCAACAGTGGCATGATTTATCAACACATTGATTCATTTGATATAAAAAAAAACAGAGCTATTCTTATTCAATATTTTATAGAGGACAAATCCCATAGCCCGTTCAGACTTTTACTAACATTTACAAAACAAGGCTTAATCATGTTGTGCCTGTGAGCCTGCTGCATCAGTTGTTCTGTAATTTAATTGTAACCCATTCAAAATGTGTTTTATACAGTCTGTGTTTTTCGTTGGGGAGAATATTTTTCTGGGCCCATGACTTTGACCCAGTTGGTCAGTTTGTACTGCCCTTATGAGCACAGGCCTGCAACCTTGAGCTGCTGTGCTCTCAGTGCTTTGTCTCCATGTTCCT